ATATATTTACCATTATTTAAGTACTTTGTTAAAAGTTGTTTAAAAACAAAGATGTGGTCAGATGTGCTAAAATTTGGCATGAAGCCAATCTGTTCTCTCATAATGATATCATTTTCTTTGATATATGTTGTTAATCTTTGTTTCAGGATTGCAGTAAAGAGCTTACTCAAACTGTTAAGAAGAGTTATTCCTCTATAGTTTCCTGGTTCAGATTTGATACCTTGTTTAAATACAGGGGTGATAATGCCTAAATTCCAAGTATTTGGAAATTTTCCACTGCTCAGTATTAAATTAAACAATTTTTGCAGTGGTTTAATCAGTGTATTTCTGCCTGCTTTTATCATCTCGTTAGTGATTGTGTCAACCCCAGGTGCTTTTTTATTTTTTAGTTTGCTTATTGCTGACTGAATCTCTAACTGAGTCTCTCGTAATAAAGAGTCATTTGAAGAGCTCTGTTTGGGTGGAGGCCTACAATTTGAAACACAATAAGACATAACACGCAGAATATACACAAATCACTCTGTACAACTTGCATGAATTTGTTCTATGTGTATTCGTTCTCCAGGTGTCACTGTCTGCTCAACAGAACTCGAAGACATGGCCTCGACATTTTTCACAGTATTAAAAAACCATTTTAGCGTCGTCCGCGATGTTGAAAATGCTCCGACCAATAAGGCACGCGTATTTAGTCACGTGATGGAGACTTTGCATAACTACCATTACGATATGTATGATATGGAGTTCACTGAGGATATTCTACAGGTAACAATCACAGTCAGCTGGCGCACACGTGATAATAAAATAAATACGATATGGGGGCCGCCATCTTGAATGACGCATACAATTAAATAAGAGACAAGTTGTGAAATGCGTTTTTCAGATTCCTACAAATCAGAACAAAAATAACAATCTTTCACAAAAATACGGTCCGTTTGTAGGAATCTGAAAAACGCGTTTCACAACTTGTCTCTTATTTAGTTTTATGCGTCATTCAAGATGGTGGCCTCATATAGTAAATATCGTATTTATTTTATTATCACGTGTGCGCCAGCTGACTGTGGTAACAATCTATGAACCAGGAGCCGGAAAATCGGTAATTAGCATAAATCCAATATGGTGGCCACTAATGGTGATCACTATGGTGGCTACTGAGCATACTATACTATTGCACATTCGTTTATGGATGTCAGAAGGTCCAAAACACCGAATGATATTCTGGCTGTTTCTTTCAGTATTTGTAATGATAGCATGGTCTGAAATACTACCGTAACAATGCTATGGGATTCTATAAAGTTCTAGACAACTTATATTATGAGTAGATGACTCATTCATTCGCGTCATTTGTTTGTGGCCACTCTATATAACACAATTGTCATATTTCATATCTATAGTCCAGCTTCATTCTGGTCACTGTGCATGCCTTAGTTGTTGACCTTTTTAGACGGGTATGTTATCTGTTGATGCCTTGTCTTTGCCACTCTAATATAAAAGCAGGCAGAATAATTAGCAGTGCATCATAGCAACATTTCGCCTTGGCCCACTTATCACTTTAATTAAGGAATGCATTCTAACCACTTTTTCCTGCTTTCTGCTAAAACTACAATAACTTGGGAACAGACCAGTTTGGTTCTCGACCCACATTCTCATCACCACTGTGCACACATAGCGTTAATGCCTTTGCCTAAATGTTTTCCTCCATTGCTTTACTTGATTGCCCTATCATGAATGTGAAATAGGGTAATTATCCACAAAAAGCATTTTCATCTTTCACACATTGCCTAATTGTCTACCCATTCTAGTTTGGTAGGTCAAAGCAGTGTTCTTCCAATGTGATTATGGGGGCCTTATTGTGGCGTGTTTCTATGAATTATTTGACATTCCTGGAGTCCATTACAGTGTATTGGTTTGATTTGTGTTCGAAACTCCAAATCTTTATTTTAACGACAAGAACATGTATGTCTATCTACACAATAATCTATTTCCCACTGGAGGTAGGATGGGGTTATTTGGTTCTTCGTTATACAGCTACAATTTAATTATGGCAAAATATTTTCATCCAAATGTTTGATACCTTTTTAAATGAAAGAAACCATGTTTCGAGTGTTTTTTATAATATGTAATACATATAATACTAACAGTGAAATTCGTTCCATTACTGAAAATACGCCAATTTTAAGGAAAAGGTAAATAAAAATATATGTAATTGATGATGAAATTCATTAGAAATTATCTAAATCCTTTTCTAAAGTCTTACAAACCCAGAGTAGTATCGGAAGCAAAAACTTACTTACAGCTAAATATCATAATAGTTTTGTTTGGCAAATCTGAGTCATATTACTTCAACAATGGCCCAATGAAAGTAATTATGGTACAATGTAATCACAATGACACAACACAGATGTATATAAATGAAATACGACAATTGTGTTAAATTGAGTGTCCATATTGAAATTATGCAAAATTATCAAATCATAATTTGATTTATGTAGCACTTTGAAGTAGATGCTATTATGTATTATCCTAGTAGGATATAACCACAATAGCACGTCGAGTAGTATTACAGAGCTATTTATAATTCTATTGGTGGGAATTAACCAGAATTCTAGACTCAGTCGCACATTGGCGGCCATCTTAGATTTGTGCTAATTACCAATTCCCCCCCCCCTCACAATTGTGTGTCCCGATTCATTTGTTTAGCGCTTTTACATTATCAAAAACAACCTATAGTCCAAGAAAAGAAGTCACGAGATTTAATACAGTTGCCCTTCTAACCAAAATATCCCCAAAATAGCAAAATTTACCATATATGGACATTTAGGGGCGTTTTCCCGTACCATAGGTAGCATTTGCCCCCGAGATTGTACTGATATTGCGTCAAATGCCATATGAACTTGACTCATGGTTAACTTGTTTTAGAAATTCCATTGACATACTCTTCGTTTAATATTCAAACAATTCGCATCATCCGTTTGTTCTATTTTCCACCAATTAAAGTTTAAAGGACGGAATATCATCGCCGTATTTCCAGGAACAACAATTGGTACTGCAGATGACCACGTGCTTCTAGTCGGGGCTCATTATGACACTGTTTCTAGCTCGCCAGGTGTGGATGACAATGGGTCGGGATTGGCTGTTCTACTGGAGACTGCTAGAATCTTGAGGAAAGAAATGTGTAAACCTAAACACACAATAATTTTCGTGGCTTTTGACTTTGGGGAGAAAGATCAACTTGGAAGTTTCAATTTTGTGCACAATTGGTTGCCGACCTTTCTGTCTAACAGCGACGGGACCAACAGTACATTCATGGGTGCCATCATTATGGACTGCGTTATGAATTATAACAACACGGAAAACAGCCAACACTTTCCCCTGACTTTCAGTTTAGTAAGTATGCGTACATTACTTTCAGTTTTAGTTTTGTAATACGCATGTCTTCTTCCTGGTATAAGTCTGATACGTGTGAAAGTAGACCCTCCGTCATTATAAGGTTATAATGTACTGAGGCTTACTAAACAATCACAAAGTTAACAATATATGTTAAGGAAAACAATGGCCAATTTGTTGCAAAAATTGTCGAAGTATTGAGACGTTGGAATTTTTGCCCCCCTCCCCACATACAACCAAGCGGCATGCACCACGGACTGATCCTGTAAACACATCATAGAAACAATATTTGAGGTTTCGTTTATACATCTGAATACCAAATTAATACTTTCACACAAACTTTCGCCAAGTGTTATCCGTAACTTCAGATTCCTCTCCGCTTCACAACATTAATCAAGGTCTACGTTATATGAATTGTCTATCTTAGGCTTTTCCCGAACTATACTTTGCTCTCCAATCTGAAAACTTCAAGGGGAATTTTTTAGCTGTGGTTGGAAGAGAACACGATGATTCGCCGTTGCTTACAAGGTTTGTTGAATATTGGTCGTTCATAAACGAAACGTCTCCAAATCGGCGCTGGATCCATACAATTGAGTTGCCAATTTCAGGTACATTAATGAATCATTGTTTGTGTAAATGTGTGTGTCATTGTAGTAGACTCAAACGTAACTCTGTTATTATATTTGGTTACCCATAATTACATATTCAAACACTTCGAATTTCGACCTCTCAATCATGAATAAACATAGTACACTCTGTTCCAGGCCGTTTTTAGTGCCAGGTATGTAAGACTGGCTTCGTTTATTATCGTAATGGAACGATACAATTCCGACCATAGAAGTCCCGGTGTAGAATACAAGTGAGGCTGACTGTCTCCGTTCTCTGTGTCCTGTAAGACAATGCTTACAGTATCCTTAAAGCTTCAATTGTACTTTGAGCAACAGCTGGTGATCATTTGAGCACGTGACTAACTGGCTCAATATTTTGATGATCTGCCGAAGAACATTGACGTATGTCATCTACTTTCGAAATGCTTATAATAACATAATTTTACTCTTATGCTCACTTGGCTTGAATAAAGGTGTTCCCCGTAGACAAGAACTAATGTATTACGAAAATCTTCTCAGAAGTGACCATGCAGCATTTTGGCGTAATGTACCGAAGTCATACAGCGCGATCTACCTAACGGATACAAGTAAGTGAATATTATGACAAAGTTGTTTTCTATTCATAGTAGCATTCCCTCAACGAGAAGACGAGTTTACGAAGTTTGTTGATATAAAAAATTAAGCAAAATGTTTCGGCCATAGTGGCTTGAATATCGCATTATTATTGGCGGATTACATTGCAGGGGAATACCGTGGTTCAATGGTCAGATGCTACCACCAATCCTGTGATAATATCGCGTCTATCTCAGACAATGGACTACTATACATGGCGAAAATAACACGTACTCTTGTAAATATGATCAAAGAGATTGCAGTAGAGGAGCAACCCGGTGGATGCGTTGGTAAGCATTGACAATTGATGAACGTTGCATGCGCGCATTGATGCTGATCAAACGAACCATAAAATGTCAATGTACAAGTTATTATGTCGTTGTATTGTTTAATGTCTACACACTTTCTCATTGGTCGATTTTATTAATTGTTTTTAAATAAGGAACTAAAATAAGTTATGACAGATATTGACTCTCTGGACGCACCGCTTATTTTTCAGATTCCGTTTTAGTTGAGGAGAATACTCATTCCACCACCATTGAGACATCTGGTACATCTGCCTATGTATTATCTGTATATCTCTTCCCCATGTTCGTGTATTGGATTCCCTATTACAACGAATACATCTAATTCCAGTGCATGTAAAGCGAAATGTTTGGGAGTGAGCCTTGTATATGTAAATGTTGCGTTTCATACATCGAAATTTTCAGTATTTGTGATTTATTTGTAAAGGCAGCCCAGCGGAGCTTAGATGTGCAAGATCCATCTTGCTAAAGAATTAGGGAAATCGCGGAAGAAACTACTATATTCCTAAAATGATCATTATATAGATCAGTTGGGTGTTTGTGTCATTTTACATAAATAAAAACGGTCTATTGCACGCATTGGATAATTCTATACCACCCAAGAAATAACTATTTCCTAACAAGTTACGGGAGAGTTACAATCCACATAAGGGCGAACAGACAAGTGTGGGAGTATAGGAATAAATGTATGGAAATTAGAAGAGGGATATGCTCATTTTTATCACGTGTTCTTTTTCGTATGAATCATTATATATTGTAAATTAAATTTGAAACATTAGTTGTTATGTATGTCATGTGTCTTTTATTTAATACCTTGAAGCCATTCGTCTAAAAGGTAAAAAACAGAAAAATTATATGCTTTAATTTAAAAGTGAATAACCACTCCAACTGTAAAGTACATTCGAACATGCTGCACAACAATCGAATCTTCTTTTACTTGATAGAGCTTTAATATATTAGGAAATTGTTTGTCATGATACAACAGATTGTCAAAAAACTTGTCACTACAAGGGATGAGATGACTGTGTCTGCGCCTAAAAGATAAATGAACATTGTTAGGTTGTTGAACAACAGCATATTTAAATATTGTGATCACCGACATGGATACGTTTTTATATAGGACATTTGTTGTTATATCACCTCAAATAGGAACTTACTACTTTGTGTGCAGGAGTCAATCCCAAACTCTAGCAGCATATTGGCGGCGGTGCGTGTCGACTTTGCCATGAACATCATTCTTTCCTCTGTAATCCACGAGGTATTATCGCACGGTGTGTGGTAGCATACCTCCTGGTATCCACGGAATTCAGCTACACCGAACATACAATTCGGCAATAAAATTAAAAATGTTATTTTATTATGTTATTATAATGCTTAAATTGAGTGAAAAGTTTCGAGGATCGTGAATGTGCGAATACAACAAAAATATTTCTGTATAGGAACTACAATTAAAAGTCGAACGCAGCTGCTACTGTGCCGTATAATGTGATGCTTATACTCACATGAATCTGTGACCATTATCGCTGCATAGGAGTCTGGGTAATAGAACCAGAATGATGCATGGTCACTTCTGAAAAGATCATGATATAGCAGGTATTCCAGTGGGGTTGGACGACCTTGTATGAATTTAAACACATACGTTACCAGATAGATTGTAAATTTAAAAATGGATGAATCGAATAAATCTATACTCTGAATTTGAAAACTGTTCTTAGGTGTTTAGAAACTCATTCAGTTTTGAAACAATAAGCTTTAGTATTATACTGGCTCTATTTGACCATAAGAACTAATTTGCACTGAAAGAGGAAAAAATGGCAGGTCATCCAGTGACGTGCTATAGACATGCTATAGAGGCATGGATACCTAGGTAATTTATGGTACCTGGCGTACTAGACCAGCATACTGCTATTGTAAGCTTCCAAAGTTATCCATTCGTTCGGACTGGTAACCGTGGGATGACTATTTATTTTGAGTGACATAGCGCTTTAGTGTTACTGTTCATTTTATATATTGCATATACCTATCTATGTGACTATATGTTCGGTTTCTCCACAGTCTATACTGAGTGAGTGATCTCTCTGCTACAGGGTGACAATTGTAGTAACCTCAAAAGTTGTAAATTGCAATTCTACACACTCCACGAACTGTCAAATCCTATTTAAAAAATGTTTAATTGTTACTCGTTGAAAAATTATTTCAATGTAGATTGAATGTATATCTGATACTGGGTATATCACAATAAAATAAAAATACAGCACATCACAGAATCTGAAATTGATTGATAATATGTATGTAGTCGGCGACTGGTGTCTAATTCAGGTGCATAGTTAAGGGATGGTTCTGATCTTACCTGATATGGGTACTTCCAGAGTCACTTCAGGGAATTTATTAGTTTCAATGGCAGCCCAGTGTTCTTGCCACTTGGATAACAACAGTGCATCATCGTCCTCCCTGCCTATGAGTGTTATGAAGTCTCCAGTAAAATTCCGACTGGCGAGTACTTCGTATTCGTCTGGATACAGCTGTTTTATGGATTACATTTCCATTACATTACATTATTTTACGCTACACGGCGTTAAAATACGTCAGGTTACATCCAATGCATTTATTTCACATTATACTAGCTTACGTTGCGTTACACGACGATACATTACATTATATTAAATTACATTTATATTTTTAAGACTTGACCCTTATTTACAAATCGCGACGTGCGTTCACAGTTAAGGAAGGACGGACTGGAAGCCGTATATCATATCACTCTATGTAAACTTACCACATCAAATCCTTTTGGAACAAGTTGGCTGTTTGGTGTGTCGTCATAGTTCATAATCATCTCGAGTACAATCGACCCCAAGAAGGTGCTAGTAGTACCGTCATCGTTTTCCAAGAAAGGGGCCAACCATTCGTTCACGAAATGTTTACTTCCCAGCAATCCGCCAGCATCTAAAAAACGAAGACGTTAAATGGTCGCAGTTAAAATCTTGTTTTCTATTAGGTTCAGAAAAATATCATGTTGAGATTACTGCATGCGTCATTTAAAATTATGCGCGTCGTGGTATTTTATTTAGGTTTTTCTGTCAGAAATTTAGTAAAAAAATTAACACAAAATCAAAGCACAATTATAATATAATTTTTAACATAAGTCAAAAATGGTCAGTTTCAGTATGTTTGCCTTTATTAAACCACTACTGTATTTGTTTCGTAGTGA